TATTACTTCGAATGTTTCCGGATATATTCTGCAAAATATAAACCTGTAATTTCGTGACATTGCTTTGAATTGATAAATAAAAATCGTATATGTAAAATAAAAATATGTACAGCCTATTTATATGTTTTTTGAAACGAGCTCAACTGAATTGAACAAAAAATATTCACACTCATGAAAATATTCACATTCATCGAAAATGTTCTTTGAATATGTGCCTCATGTATCTACGCATAACCTAAACGAATCTGTTATTTTTCTTTTTATAATTGTTTTTTCATGTATTTCACTCACCATTAAAATTGAATATAAAATTTCTAATTCCTGGCGCTTAAACTGTATATCGTATTCTTCGTCCCTATAATTATCATCAGAACTGTTACTAGATGATTCATTACTGTCATTTTCATTAGTGTCATCAATTAAAAATATTGTCGCAATACTGACATTATAGTTTATTGTTGTGGAATCCATTTTGATTTTACGTTTTATGTGTTAAACATCGTTCCTTTTTAAAGTGTGCATCGTTCGCACGATGAAAGGAAACGCCAATGCGCTAAGCAAGTTATGCGAACGATATGTGCTATGTGCGAAATGGAACGCAACCAGAGTCAGGAATAGACACGAAATTGCAGTAAAGAGTTGCTTTTCGATAGAAACTGGTTTCCTTTTAGGCAATGCATTAATATCTCAGTTCTATTAATTATAACACTACTTCGTATGTTTCCGGATACATTCTGCAAGATGTAAAGTTGGTGTAATTCTTGACATTATTTTGAATTGGTATAAAAATTGGTATATAAAAATTGAATATGCGTAAAATAAAAATATGTACAGACTATTTACAAGTATTTTAAAACGAGTTCAACCGAGTTAAACAAAAAATACGAAAATATTCACACTCACCGAAAATGTTCTTTGAATATGTGCCTCATGTATCTAGGAATAATTCTCTCAACAAAATCTGTTATTTCTTTTACAACTGTTTCTCCACATATTTCACCCATCATTATAATTAAATATAAAATTTTTAATTCCTGGCTGGTGCTTAAACTGTCCTCATACTCTTTGTCATCATCTGTAATTATCATCAGAAGTTACTGGATGATTCACTACTGTCATTTCACTTACATTTTCATTAGTGTCATCAATTAAAAATGTTGTAATATTGATAGTGTAGTTTATTGTTATGGAATCTATTTTGATTTTACGTTTCATGCGATAAATATCATTCTGTTTCAAAGTGCATCGTGCGCTTGATGAAATGCAGCTAATGCTAAACATTGATTATGAGAATGATGCATGCTATATGCTAAACGGAACACAACCGGAATCAGGAGTAGACATAAATCAAATTGCAATAAGGAATTCGGAGACTAGTTGATTTCCTTCCAGGCAATGCATTAATAGCTCATAGTTCTCAATTAATTTGTAACACTACATCGAATGTTCCTGGATATATTCTGCAAGACATGAAGTCGTTGTAATTTTTTGACATTGCTTTGAATCGATAAATAAAAACTGAATATGTAAAATAAGAATATGTACAGATCAATTATAAATATTTTAAAGCAAGCTCAATCAAATAGAACAAACAATATGTGTGCAAATATTCACGCCTCACCGAAAATATTTTTTGAATATGTGCCTCATGTATCTAGAAATAACCTAAACAAAACTGTTATTTTTCCTTTTATAACTATTTCTCCATGTTTCTTCATATGTTTTCAGATATATATTCTGCAAAATGTAACGCTGATGTAATTCTTGATATTGCTTTGAATTGGTATATAAAAATTAATGTATAATAATTGAATATAAATAAAATAAGAATGTACAGACTTCTTATAAGTTTAAAATGAGATTCGTTCAATCGAGTTGAACAAAAAACATGAAAATATTCACACTCGTCAAAAATGTTCTTTGAACATGTACCTTGTTTATCTAAGCATAACTTTCTCAACAAAATCTGTTATTTTTCTTTTACATCTGTTTCTCCATGTCATTTCTCCATGTTGTGTTTCACCCATTAAAATTGAATATAAAATTTCTAATTCCTGACTGGTGTTTAAACTGTCCTCATATTCTTCGTCACTATTATTATCAGAATTGCTACTGGATGATTCGCTACTGTTATTTTCATTAGAGTCAATCATCAATTAAAAATATTGTCGCAATACTGACATTGTTTATTGTTGTGAAATCCATTTTGATTTCACGTTTTATGCGTTTAATCATGGTGGAAATCACGAAGTAAGAGAGAAAAAGCTCAACTTCATAGCGCGCGAATGGTAAAACCATAGTGGAATCGGTTTGTGAGCTGAATTGAGAGAGAATCCGCTGAGAAGAATAACCTACAAATTTGGACGCCATTTACAATATCAACCTTATCTCATTTTATTTTGCTTTATTTGCTGGATTTATCCATTTTATCTCCATTTTATCAGTACCTGCGAACTTATTCTGTAATTTTTAATAAAGCAAATTTTGTTATTATTATAACAAAATTTGCGTTAAGAGCAGTTACGAGTGTTTCCCGTACTAGTGTCTCTCAATTATTTGTGGCTTGATCCTTTAAAAGTTATCCGAGTAAAAAAGATTTACCTCACAATTAAAAGTACAAATCGAAGAAACAACAAGAAATATGTAGCTCGTACGTACAGTTGCACAAAGTAATAGGTTATTTCGTGTGCAACTTCTACAGCTGACTTTTTAAACATGGCGTCCGAATGTGCAGGTTATTCCGGTAGCGGATTCCCTCTTAATTCCACCTTTTTTCACAGAGTTGAGTCTCCTTCTTTCTTACTTCGTGGTGGGAATATATAATATATGCAACATTACGCATAATGGCGGTAGCAATACTGGAAATAGCCAATCAAATATGTCCGAATATGCATTTTCTATGTGTAATAACGCTGGTTATATTGGAATAACCACTCAAATGTCTAAATATGCACTTTCTTACGGCGCATCTACGGGAATGTTTCGCCTTATATATTTCCACTATGCGTTTAAAGTCGTAATCATACTATAAGCTTCCAACTTTCGATTCAAAGTCGATCGAATAGAGTGAGTTCTATTCTCGAGTAATAGTCAGAGTCAGCTGTTGGCTTGCTATGATGTAGAATAATAGTCTGAATATCAGTCAGTAGTCGAGTCAGAGTCTGTAGTGTGATTACGGCTTAAGGGAATCCTCCTGTTTTACCGATTAAATCATGTAATTTTTGTATAACAAATACTTTTTTCCTCTTTCACCAATTCGAATAAAGTATACGCCGTAATCCAAGTCTGGGAAGTGGAGTTTATACCGAGAACGGTTACAAATTTCAAAATTTATATATTTTTATCTTTTCTTAGTATAACATGGCATCTCAGTTGTCAAGTTGTGACAACATTTGATTAATATGAAAGCTTTGCAATTTATACGTACGAAATAGTTTCCACACGTAATTTACACGAACAAACAACGTCGAGTTCTTAGACTTACTGTGATTTTGTATTTTTGGAAAATCAAATAAAGAGAAAATAGAAGAAGAAGAAAAAAACGGCCAGTAACGGTATTTAAAAAGCATGGCAACTTTCGTATTTAAACTTGCCGGTCTTTACTGTTTGGGGTGAAGCCTAACAATCTTCAACCAACTTCAGTTCGGCGACACCGAAGGTTTGTTCGCGTCGCATGCTCTGACATGCTCTAAAATGCTCTTAATATAGCATTTACTCTCATTGAAGTGAGTAGAAGATATAACAGGCACACATTAAAGCATGTTGGAGCGAACGCGAACAAACCTCTAGAGTATGCATTTCCTATAGCAAAAATGTGGACTAGCAGTCCACGTATTTATAGTCAAAATACAATACGATAAATCATATCCATCAATTTTCATTAGCATCTTATGGTATTCCAACCATAGTGGAATTATATAAGGTAAAACATTGTGTATAATAGCGAAGTTCGACCAATTAAAATTGTACTAATTTGCAGTGTACTTATTTGCAGAACGAATCATGTGAATTTCTGCAAATGAACTCAAAAATTGATTGGTTGATAGATCTCCCCAATATTTACAACTCACTGCGCATCGTGGAAATGGTACACTTACTAAAAGTTTGCAACAGATTTTTTCTATGATTTTCGAAATGCTCACCGAGCGATTGATTTTAATTTATGGATTATATAAGTAAGAACTAATCGCTCGGTGAGCAGACTGAATTTCGAAACTATTTAAAAAAAGTGTAACCTTTTAGTCGACGAGTATACACATTACTTCTTACACCATGCTAACAATCATACTGCAAATTCGCACTGTTACGGTGGAAAACCTTGGTTGCGCATACAACACTTTTGCAATACGACTGTTTTCGCATGCCATCAAAAAAATTCAAGTTAGAAGAAAGAAATGTTACGGTTCTCCAAGCCAAAATCATGGAAAGGCTTCTGGATTTTATTTTGATTAAAAAAATAAGATGATAGGAAGACATAATTCTGTTATGTTTGAAGATGATAAGAAGAAAAAGGAAAACAATAGAAATCATATTCGAATATAAGACAATGACATCAAGAAGAATTCGCGATTTAAATACCAATGAGCTGCAAATATGCTGTATTAAAACAGTTACATTAAAAGACTTTTAAATAACAAAAACATCACATATATAGAAGGGTAAATTAGAGTCAAATTCGAATGATATATGTAATAAACGTTTAAAGTTTCAACAATCTGATAAATTGAAATGATAATATGAAATGAATAATATAAATTTAATTTTAAAACTTAATTAGTTAACGTAATTAGTACTAATATTATATTGTATTACATGACATGTTTCAGCATCATAATTGGGCCATCATCAGATGTTATAAATTCTCAGAGCAAAAACGTAATGAAAAAGTCAGTGTATTTTGAATAGTTACTATTAAATCATTAAACGGTATAAAAGACGCATTGAAATATTCTTATAAATATATGTAATCTGTATCTTATGTGAATCCGATAACATCACAGATGCAGAGTGAAAACGAAATTATTCGCAATCCGTTGAATGATCGGTTGGTAAAGAATTTTCACGATTATCTATAAATTATAATCTTTTAGGTACAGATCTACAAGCAATTTCATTACTATATTAAAGAACTCACCGTTATAGTCTTACATTCTTCCAACGTGATGGAGATAAGATGCATGTTAAGCTTGTATCAGTCACTATGATTATGAAGTCACTATGATCAGTCACTATGATCATCAATAAATATATGTGAAATTATTAAAATTATTAGTCACCAAGATTAAAGATTAAAATTGTATAAATATATAAAATTCCTAGTCAAAAAGTTAAAAATTAAAGATGTATAAATATATAAATATATAAATATATAAATATATAAAATTATTAATCAAAAAGTTAAAAATTAAGAAGTATAAATTTATATAATGTGGCTGCTGTGACAGTCTGATACTGACTGATATGTTACAACATATTATATAAAACATGACCTTAGCGCTATAAAATCATAATTTGTTATCAATATGTACGCTTTGTGAAGTCTCTATATCTGTAAGTTGAGGATGTTTTTCTTTAATATTTAACATTTTCGAGATTAGGCGTTTGTTATGGTACGATTCTTCATTTTTATTATGATATGATACAGAATTATGATGTTATCAATCAAATTCGTGTCCCTGCTGCAACCTGTGTTCTATTATCACAGAGTGTGTAGAGATAATATTCCACTGGATGTGATTGCGATGTTCAGCAATTCTCGATTTTAATTGTCTACCCATTTGTCCCACATATGTAGCATCGCAATCCAAGCAATTGATCTTGTACTACATTGATCTTGTAAAGTGGGATCGAGGTTCTTTTTGAACTTTGATAAATTTCTGTAATTTTTTGATACTATAAAATCCTACTTTTGAATCTTTACTATTAAATTGTTTAAATTTCTCGGTAATAGAAGATATAAATGGAATTGCATTAAAACACTGATCGACATTGATCGATGACTTTATAGAAGTATGTGTGGATACAAAATTGTTTTTTGCGCATTGGCAAAAAAGCGAAAAACAAGGAGTGAAGATTTCGAATAACAGGTTCAACTTGTTATCTTTACACGTACACGAAGAATAAAAATCTTAACTAACTAGAAGAAAAAGTGTGATGACCATATTACTTCAAAAAGCTTCAAAAGTAAATTCACAGAATATGAGAAAACGGTAGAGGATTAAGCTTGGGATATGTTCAAAAAAGTCTCCAAGAAACAAGTATTTGAAATTGCTTTAGTGTCTCGAAATTGAATCCCTGGGTTGCTTACTCGCCTGATGTAATTTTTGAAGACAAAAAGCTGTCCGAATTATTAGAAATAAAATGCCCATTCAAGGGTAAAATTACGACCATTTACAATCGAGACAGAAGTAGGTAAAAGTTTGATATAGACGTGCGAACAAATATGCGTACAGTTAAAAAAGAAACACAGATACTATGGGCAGATGCAGTTAAGGATGATAATCATAAATGTAAAAAAAAATTTCTTTGTAATGTATGCCAGTTTTGATAAAAGTATGTTGGTTCTAAAGTTGGTTTTTTCATCGAGTTTGACCAAAATTTTGCGAGAAAGATGTTGACAGTAAGAACATTTATTATAATATTATGTTGCATGAAATATGTTTATTAAAAAATGTAGAACAAGGTTAGAGATATGTACAACAGTTTAAAAAATAGTTAACAAATTGTAATCCGTTCTCTATCGCCATTGAAACTGGGACCAAAGTCTATATATTTTTATAGGATACAATGTTATTGAAAAAAGAAATTTAAAGTAATAAAGTAATTTATTATATGTTGACTATATATAAGATCTTAAAATTAAAAAGTATAATTTGTTAAAACTGATATAAAAATTTTAAAAAGCGTTGATACAAAAATGTGATCAGTATTATTATAATATAATATTATAAGTATATTATATAGTTATGTTAACATAATAACTATAACTATATCGCATTTCTTTCTTATACAATTATTCGTTCAGTTTTTTAACGCCCTGATAATTAGGAACATAAAAAGTTAGTAAAGAAATAAATTATTGATGTTTCATGAACTTATCACCTTTCAATATCGGAGAGCTGAGATTGATTGTGGCACAAATTATTGTAAAAATATCTGCTAAATGTGGCACAAGTTTCATAAGCATTATTTCGTCTAAGATTTTGAATGTCTTTATTCTTTGATTACATCGTTCCCTTGTCTTTCTTATTTTAGCTGTCATGATTGATTCAGTTTTGATAATTGTCTTTCAAAACAATCTTATAAGTGGTCTTATAAGCTTCCAATCATTTTTGACACATATTTCATCAATCAAAAAGCCTTTGTCAATCATGACTGCATCACTAAGTTGTAATAAATGAATTAAGTCACTTTATTCGAATATAGCTGTCTGATGCTATTCCATTCCAGACTTTACTTACATGATACTTCTGTCTGGTGCCACACCCATCATTTTACCCATTATTTTACCAGTTCATGACTTTTTATAATTAGAATGAGTGAGTATTTGACAACAAAGTTTTTTGGCTCTTATATGAATATTTCTGTACAATCTATCACTACTTTAACGTCTTCAAACTCTTTAAAACATTTTGACATATTTTTCAATATTTTGCTTTGATGGTCAAGTAATTGCCACTTTTAGAATTTCACTCAATAATTCACCTTCTCATAAAATACTCATCTGCAATTTCTTGCGATATAACAAGGAAATAAAACAGTTAGTAAACTGTATGATGTATTCTGTCTAAACTTTAAGTAATCATAATTACAGCATATAAATTCATTTTGATGTTGCTCCAATTGATCTCTAATGGCCTACTTTATAAGTTCTACAATGCAGTCTAAAATTTTGAAAGAATTAATTCGGCAGACCGCACTGAATGCAATGCGTACTGAGTGCGAACTTTTTCTGTGCTACGTATTCGGCTCGTGCTATATTGTAAGATTAATACTGCGTATCCGATGTATAACATCCGATATCCAATAGGAGAGCTTGTTTTCTAGATATTTCAGCTAGCAATATTTTATCGGACGATATATAATACTTGTCGTATGAAAATAGATTTGTTCGTCTTGCTTGCATCCTTTGCACTTGAATTCTAGTAAAATTACTTAAGGAAAAAGAACTTGTACTAATTCATTTAGTTATTTGTTCAAAACAACTCGAACGTTCACATACATGTATAAATTTATTTAAATGGCGCATGATAGAAATATTACATAAAATGTTAGAAGCAGTAATACATAGATATAATGGACAATGAAATACTTTCATCAGTTAAGTACCTTCTACATATTATACTATAATGATATGTAAAAATAGTATACAGAGTGGCGTTAAATTCCATTCTGGGCCTATATTCTGTGACTGATGTCGATATCATTGCGCAGCTTTTTCATCATAAAATATCTGCGCAACGACACCGACAACTGTCAATAGGCGTGTAAAGACAATTATGGAATCTTGTCCGTGAGCAGGTAGAGCGGACTGAACTAAGTCGAAAAGTCTTATACTTGTATATTTTGCAATTTGCACAATGAAAATGTTTAAAGATAGTCGAATACGAGCGTCCGTCTGATATTATTGCCGAAGGTATGGCCCATCGATCGCATGCGGAAAGTGAGGCAAGCGCCTCGCGTACTGCATCACTGCGAGCCACTAAGTTCGAACGGCGGAACACGCTTGCTAGGCCATCTCCCGCTCGTCGCGGCCCACGTGCCTTACAATCGTGTCTTACAATTCAGTTTGATCCGCTCTGCCTGCTCAGGACGGGTGGGGCCGAAATTGATGCCACCCGTATATATTAAGTATAAACATAAAGATTGATAAATAGAGAAATACTACAATCAATGGACCTTTAAACAATTTTAAATTGAATCATATACCTACTGGAAAAATCAAATTATTTTAATGAAAACTAATAAAACTGATAAAGAATGACTGAAAAAAATTTTCTAACAAGAAGAAATTTTCTAACATAGCATAACACAGTGAATCATTGCTGTTCCCCATTAATATTAAATAAAAGTGAATGACTCATTATGTTACTATCCTTGCTGGAAAATATCCTATACTTATTCTTAAGGAGATACAGTAACAAACAAAAATTTAACGGGCCAATAGCTGATAGAAATTAATTCACTTTATTAGATAGATAGTAATTAGAATACGTTCTATTTCATTATATATTGTATTTCATTATATATTATATAACCTATAAATAAATATATTACATAAAAAAATATACTGTTCTGTCAACGTTTATTTTAAAATTAACAGGATGGATACACTTAGGAATTAGGTAGATGATAGATTATAGATAAAGAAAATCGGCGCAAAATATATTTTAAAATGCAAACTAAATTCTCTTAAAAAAATTAACAGTGTCGTAGTTTATTTCGAGCTTATAATTAGAAAAACTTTAAGTTAATACAAATAACATAAGAATATAAATACTAAGTAATATTCTAAACAATATTTCGGCTTACAAAGTCTTTTTCAGTGTTAAAACACAGAAATACAATATTAATAAACCAAATAAATAATGAATACAATGAAAAAATTTTTTAAAAATTATCAATGAAGTGTCAATATATAAAGAATTTAAAACGTCAAAATGTATTAAGACAAATTATAATAAGATAAGAAGATTAAAATACTTGTCAACAGTAGATTACATAGTATCCATCAATAAAATAATTTTGCTAAATTCTCCGGTTGAAATCGAAAATCAGTTTGTCGCAGACTTGTATCAAACTTGGACTCTTATTAACTTTTTTCCTATGGCAACACATCCTATCACACCCTCCTCGTCACAATTCCTTTTATAAATGTGAAAGAAGATTATTTTTAAAACATAAAAAGATTTATTGATGGCGATTAATGGCGAAAAAAGAAATTGAAAATTCCAAAGATATCCTATCCATATGGTTCTTTTTGTATTAAGAACAACAAAAAAAAACTATAATGTTAAAGTTTAGCTAAAATATTTCTTTGACTGAATCCAATGAATCTTTAGTCACCATCAATATTGAAGCTGAGAAATTTAGTGGCAATTCTTTTAATTCATTAGAATGAACCAATAAAAAATTGTTTGCCAATTTAAGCGAGAAAAGCATTCCTACATATGTAATAAATTTGTTACAACTAGATAGCAATTTTAATCTCCCAGATTCTAATAATAAAGAAAAATCAATCAGGAAATTCATTAAGGATATTAAAAACTGCTCAAATAGAAATAACTTAGAATTGTTATCGAAAATTATATCGCTATTCCCATATTCCACCAGTTCCTCCACAACAATCCTCACTTCAATTTTTTGGATATGAAAATTAATAAAATGCTGAAGTCAACAATACAATGGTGTAATAATAACAAAGATATAATTTTCACACGTCCGGACAAGGGCAATGTAACCGTAGTCATAACTTTTTATAATAACAAGGTTCTTGAATTACCTAAAGAAAATTCAGAAACATACTCGATGGTTAAAAAAAAATCCGATCATGGTGATTGAAAAACATCTTAATAATATGTTTAAAAAATGGCATTAGAAAGAATTTATCTCCGATAAAGAATTGTGAAGACTTCGATCAAGTGATTCTATCTTACCGAAAGCATATGTATCAAAAATACACAAGGAAGAATAATCCCTTTAGAATTATTGTTTCTTCAATTAACAGCTCTATATTCTACAGCTAGTTTTTTACAACATATTATCTCCGAGAATATTCCTCCTGCAAAGAGTAGAATAAAAAATAGTTTTGAATTTCACAATAAATTAATTGGAATGACAAATGATACAACATAGATAATGTTTCATTGGATGTTACTTCTCTGTTCACTAATATTCCGTTAGATATTGGATGGATTAGAGAAAAGGTGGGACTCCATTAAATGTGCCACGAACATATACCAAAGGATGAATTTATTAATACGGTTAAATTTGTCTTAACATCGACATATTATATTTTACTTTTAATCTTTCATTTACAAACATCATCATTTACAAACAAACATTTGATACATTTATGTATTTCCCCTTTTTCCCTATCATCAGTTGATATTGTAATGAAGGATTTAGAAGAGAGAGTATTAAATTCTTTAGAATTTCAAGCTTCTGTTACTTTAGATATGTTGATGATATCTTTATGATCGTATCTAAAGATAAGGTCACTCAAATTTTAAATTCTTTTAATGAATAGCATGACAAACACTCAAATTTATTGAATATGAAGAAGGCCATTGTTTGAATTTTTTGGATCAGTCATCGATAAATATTATTATTTTAGATTGGTATAAAACACGTTCTTTACTGATATTTATCATTCTTTTCGAATCATTCTACATGCCATAAGATTAGAACTATATACAGGGTGGCATCAAATTTCGGTCCCACTCGTCTTGAGCAGGTAGACTAAAGTAGGCCGTACCTTCGACAATAATAAGATCGAGCGGACACGCGTATTTGACTATCTTTAAACGTTAATATCTCATTAATTATTGTGCAAATTGCAAAATGATAGAAGACTTTTGGACTCAGTTTAGTTTGCTCTACTTAGGACAAGTGGAGA